CCCAGCCTAGAAAAACCAACCAGCTCAGCACTATTCTATCCAAAGGCAGTTGGGAACAGCAGGCAGCAGGCTGGCCAAGAAGTGGCACTTCTCCACAGCTACCCCATTGCAGCCAAAACCAGCTCTGGATTGCAAATCCTCCTGTTCTGTTGCAGTAGTGATGGGGGCTGAATTGGTTGCATATAATGAAATCACCCAGGATGGAGGCTTGCCAGTCCCTGCCTCAAGCAGATCTCAGCACTGCAGTCAGGCTGCTCATCTTCACTCCAGTGGGATGAAGCACTTGAGAACTTTTGGAGACAAGAAAACACCTTCCATTTTCCTGTCAGCCTGTGAGGCTGCAGGCAAGGTGAAGGAAAAGCACACTCAGCCTCTTGGGGTCTCAGCAAGGGAATAACAGCTAACTCTCTTCTTCTCAAAACAGAGTAAAAGAGGAACACAGATGAAATTTGGACTAGTCCTGGACTAAATGAGGCAGCAGGTGGTGGCTCTGGAGCAGCAGAGCACCACAGTCCCGTGAGGGCCTGGCACGAGCCATTTCTGTGCTTGAGCACACAGATTGCTCTGCTCCTTTCAACTCTTCCCCTCACCATTTTGGACTACCTTCACAAAGAAATATATACATAACTTTTAACAGTTAATAGTGACAATTGTGACTTCATTTAGCAAGATAAAACTATATTGCCATAAATTGCCATATTTTCCAAGGTTTTACAGTCCTCAGTTGTCCAAAGAAAATGTAAAGTTACTAGAAACCACAGCAACCCTTTAGAAATGTCTTATCCTATTAAATAAATTAGAAATGTTTGCAGTCTCCGAAGTACTACTGCATTCATAAACAGTAATTGTGAGGACTACTTCTTGGGTTTTAAAATTTTACAGAGAATTTGCAAAGAGGTGGCTTCATGTGACCATCTTTGGTAGCAGAACAAAGCAGATTTAGTTCATAACTATTAACATTAATAACTCTTGTAGATAAAGGGAGTTGCCTTCCCCAAAGAATCCAATTCTCTCACTGCATCCTTCTAAAATAATTCCCACCACATTTATTATTTGTTTTCTCTAAGTACAAGTGGTAGCCTGATCCAAACCTTGTTGCAGCCTGAGGAAGGATCCAGTCTCACTGAAGCTAGAATAACTTCTTGAAGAGTTTGGCAGCATGATTGCAGAAAAGCTCTTTCTGGTTTTATTTTAGGACTTCTTAAAAATATTCTTCCATTTTCTATTGGAGTTTGCCTGCTTTGCAGTCCAGGCGTCCCATCTGTACATGTATTAGCATCTAGGTTGTCTCTGTTTTCCCTCCAGCTGCGCTGAGAGACTTTCAAAGTCCTAGTTGAAAGTTAGTTTTGCCTCTGATTTTACTTTATTCTTGACATCACCTCTTTAAAGTACAAAGACAGATTTTTGGCACCACTTTTTTCACAAGGCAGTAGTGTCTTGATGTTTAAAACAGTCCATATTCTCACAACAAGGGCACACAGCTAAAAGAAACAAGTTTCTGCCTTGGTTTGGAGAACAAGAAGTACGGAATGGTGTGAAAATTCAAAGGAATTACATTTTTTATAAAACCCAACCCACTTGTTAGAAGCATTTTTTTAGGATTACTTTTCTTTCCTGTTCCCAAGGGATTTTGATATTATTGTGGGACTTTGCTTCAGCACAATATTGCTCCTCCCCCTAAGTTAAAACTGAAGCTAGACACAAGGCATGTGTCTCTACAGACAGAAGCTGCATGGAAAACCTAACACAGTTTCAGAGCTGCAAGCTTATCCATTTAAGGATATTACTAAGGAACCAGATGGAGAATAGTTTTCCATAGTTAACCATCTGGGCCCTGAAATGATACACTCTGCCCTAAGCATTGCTATGGGAATTGACTTCATGATGGGAAAAAGCAGAGAAAAAGAGAAAAGCAGAGAAAGAAGAGCATAATATTTTATATTGTAAAAAATGCAGCCAGAGTCACCATTTTGTCACACATTGCAGTTTCTTCATCGCTGTTTGTGTTTATAACCTGTGGGATAAAAAGAAGAGAAAATAAGACTTTCACGGTTACTATAATGTGGTAGCTGTGAAAGAAATCAGAGATGTTATTTTACTTTTAATGGAACTTTGATTGAGTCAAAGTGCAGGGGAGTAAGGCAACACTGTTTTTTACACTGATATATAATTTTAGGTGGATTAATTTTTTGAGTTGTGCACTTCAGGGCTTCCAGCCAGTACCGTGTCCACAGCTGAGAAATGCAGTGGTTTGCAGTGATCAGAGAAAGGTAAGAAATATGGGATGTTCCATTAGGTTTGTGGAAAACACCAAATGCCTGGTAACTAGATGGAGTCAAAGCAAAATCTAGAATGAGTGGATTTTCTGAGTAGTCCTGCTGTATGGTCTTAACGAGAAACCTATAGGTAAAACGTCTTTAGATGTTAGATATAAAATAGTACTGGAACTAGAAGATGGAACAAAGATATTTTTTTCTCAAGTGTCCATGAGGGTCTACAACTGCCTTGTTGGTTGCAGTCTTTAGCTGAAGTTTTAAAAGTTGTCCAGGCATTCTGGCTTTTTCCTGCTATGTTGATTCTCCAACATCTTACATTTTGTCATCTTCTGCTGAGCACTTTTCTCTGCCAGGACAGTTATAGAATCTTTTTACTTTAGCTATTCACCTGCCTTTGCAGAGCCTGTAGGAACCTGGAGACAGTTTTTCCTTCTGTCACTTTTTGAACGGAGCTTGACAATGGCTTTGCTTTCCTTAGTAAATTTGGCTAAAATTGTAGACCTAAAAAAAAGGATAAAAGATAAATAAACCAATAAATCAGGTTCATCTCAAAGTTCTGCTGAGTTTTGAAGTACTCAGATAATGCAGGGTAGCTCTAATGGACTATTTAATAGTATGAACGAGTTACTGAAGGTCACTAAGCAAATTTCATTAGCCTCCATTTAATATTAGAATGTTTTACAGGGTTTTCGACTGTAGCTTGCTTTTTTATGTGTTGAACAGGTCTAGAGAAGTATTAAATAGTTATAAAAACCCAGAGAACAGGCCATTCAGCACATTCCTAGGTAGGATCCATCAAAAGAAATAAGAAGTTTAAAATTTTCATGACCTTCATCTAGGCAGGACTGACATTTTTCTTGATATATGTATGTTGCAACTGTTCTGTAAAGGGAGAAAACAATCCTTGTAATGGTTTAAATCACTGTTGTATCTTACACTTTAATGGAGTCCCACAGCACTTGAGCCTGCTGGCACTTGGTGTGTTCATGCATGTTTATTGCATCTGGATGCTCTCAAGGAAATAACAGATAGAACTAGTTATCAGGTAATCATCAGTTTATGAACAGACTGTTTCGTCGTGCCACAAGAAAATCTATGTGGTAAAATCTGTAATGATTGCTTTTTGTTACTTTGTGTCACTGCCGTGGAACAGACTCTGTGCTTTGATGCTGAGATTGGCTTCGGGGTGTTGATGGAATGAAATAGTTTGTGTGGGTGATATCACACAGATAGGTGCATATCTCACTCTTAAACTAAATTTTTATGAGACTATAATTAAGAAAAATAATAATAAACCTAATATTAATCCTTTTCTTCATCATTATTACACTGCAGAACAGGAAAACATGACTTGTATGAAAAGCTTGGCTTGGCAACCATAACATGTGGCCTGCAGAAGATAAGGAGGTCATGCAGGCAAATAGATCACTGTTTTCCAAAATATTTGCTCCTTCTTATTAGTAGTATATTTTATTCTTCGGGAATTTATTGATTCACTGGAAGTTTGTCCAGTTAAGACATGTTGAACTGACACACTTCCCAGTCAATTGGTAGCAGAGCCTGCAGTTGAACCTGTGTTCCTTCCTTGGCAGCTGACCTGTTGGTAACCCAGCAGTGAGCTCTGCTTCTTAACAAGCAAAAATATAAGTAATAATTTATATCTCACAGCACAGAATGCCATGAAAAGTGTGAGGAAAATTATTTTGACTATAAAGAGGAAAGTTTTAGGTTGCAAGAAGAGACAGAAATCTACCCTAAGCAAGGAGAAATGTCTGGTTTTGCTTTTCTTGTGTGCAAGCCTTGAGCTAAAAAGGATGTGTCACTGTAAACATCTGCTTTGAGGCAGCTCAAAGAGAACAATGAAAAGTTGCCTTTGTGTCTGAAAAGGAATTCTTTCCAATAATTTTACCCTAGAATTCTATTTGCCTAAAGACCTGTTATTCTGCTGTAAATCTCACTCTACCCTTTTCTGCCCACATACAGCACAAGTTATAGCTCACAAAATTCATAACTGAGTTGGGAATGATGTCATTCAGGACATAGTTTTTTTAAAGACAGCCTTAAACACTGTTTTGTGTACTCAAACTGCTCTTGGCTGTCAGTCAGAATCTGCCAAAGGGATCTGTTCTGCAAGATTTGATCAGCAGACTTTCACCAGGGACGCGTGAACCTTGGTGTTTCTTAGTCCTGCGGTACCACAATGCTGCAGCACCTGTCCTCTGAGAGTGAAGGTGGATGACAGCCTCACTCAGTAGAAAGGGAAGGTAACATGTAAGTTAAAGTGGTAGTAAAAAATCCAAATAAGACAGTGTTATTTGTGAATATTTTTCTGAAAGAAGACTAAGGAAGATGTTGAAGGATTTCTATGAAATCATACCCCATAGTTGTTTTGCTTGCCTCTTCCTGAAAACTGTAACTTTCCTTGTACAAATAGCTCTTTTTAAGAGATGGTCCATGATTTCAAACCTTAAGTGATACTCACAGATGGCATCTGTGGGCAATAGATCCTTCATCTCTCAGGCTGACCCTGCTGTATACTGAGTAAGAAAAAGAAAAGTTCTGCCTGCCCTACACATCTCAAACTGCAGGAAGACACCAAGGAAGATTTTGGGAAGGTCTGAGATGGCCAAATCCTGTAGTAGAGACTTGAAGACATTAAAATCAGAAGTCAACAAAGCCCTTATTATCTCTTTCTCTCTCTTTTTTTTTTTTTTTTTAATGCAGTTCTCAGGCTGCAATCAGGCCCCTACTCCTTCAGCTAAAAATAAACCCAGAGAGATCTTTTGTACACAGAGGAGAGAGACTTCCTCAAGAAGAACTTTATATCAATTGCTGTAAGTTGCCTTTTTACCATTCATGAATCTTCAGAAGTGGCTGCTGAGTGTGTACCACGGCAGTGATGTCCAGGCTGCACTGGATCAGCTTCAGCATTCTGCAATGCACCACCCTGGGATGCAGTTCACCTCACAGCGCCCAGTGAGGTGAACTCCATTTGCTCAGAGAGTCCATTCTCACTAATGGGAAGTGGCATGAAATAATCATCATTAGGTGGTCAAAGATTTCAATCTGCTCATAAAATTGCATCTAGAGTAATTGAGTCACTCAGCGCGAGTGTCTCTAATTGTCTTATCGAGTGTTCCTCTGGCTCCGAAAAATGAGAGAATGGCATGTTTTATTAAAAGACAGAATTTACAGGAACTTGACTCTAGAAGCCCAAAGCCTACACAGACTCAAACTGTGGCACAGGGACTTAGATTTACTCTTTCTGATGTTTGTTTAAATGCACTATGAACATTTGTAATACACACCACATTTAGAAGTTGTCTGGGTTTAGTTTTACAAGCACTGTAGGAAGCATGATCACACATTTTTGTATTCTTAAAATAGATGTGGTACTGAATACTCTAGAATTTGCGAATACTTGAAACAAGATTTGATATCAGAGATGATTTCAAAGTCCTGAACTAAACACCTTGTGGAGATAGAGCTCCTGTGTTTCATTGTGATTTCTCTTAATGAACTATAGACCTAAGTCAGGAGAATCATTGTCACACAGTGCTGTGTGTGCAAAAAAAAAGTTTATATGTGTTTAAAAAAGTGTTAAGACATGTAGGAGAAAATGTTTCCTGGCTTACTGTTAAACACCAATTACCTTGGGCTTGGATTTTAGTTAAAAACCTCTGGAGCTGAGAGAGTGTCTGGGGGAAACACAGTTGTGTGTTGCCATAGCTCTGATCCTCTTCCTTCAGCCTCCACCTCCAGCTGCTACTTGGGAGAGGAAAGTGAGCTAAAAGCATATTTCTTATGGGCTGAACACTGCTGGTAGAGCATGGTGCCATTAAAGCACCCGAAAATCTATTTATGCCACGTAGAATTCACAAATGACAGGTTTTAACTATTTTAGTTCCCCTTAATAATGTTCAGCAAAACACAGTCCTGTATATTCTATCATATTTTTCCCCCTTGATCCTACATATTCTGCTCTTTTCGACTCTTTTTATGTTATTTTTGTTTTCCTTCATGTTCACCTGTTTTAACTCAGTTTGCCCAGTAAGATCCCTCAAACAGGAATGATCACATAAAAAGTATAGTGTGAACACTTACCTTTTATTCTTGGACAAATTGCTCACTGCAAGGTAGAGTGTATCCAGAATTGCTGTACATAAAACAATGGCATTTTTATTGTGTTGTGATGAGAATAGTTCACCTTGCTTATGACCTCAGGAAGGCAGACTGTTTCACGCATGCAATTTTAGCTCATTGAGATTTCAAAGATCCCTTTCGAACATATATCACTAAAAGCCTTCTTTCAGCACATTGACTCTTTGTTCTTCTCTTCTATCATCGAGTTTAACATGCTGATGAAGGCCTGCAGAGAAGGCAGCAATGCCAATATATCGAGCCTGGAGAGAAGAGGACTTTGAAGGAATGCAAAATGAGTGAAGAGAAATTGGGCTCAAATTCAACAATACAGAGAGGAAGTGGGAAAGAAATAAAATTTTAAGACATCAACAGCAAGGCCACAATTAAATTTCAGGCTACCAAAACCAAACAAACAGAAAGCTTAGAGCCAGACTGCAGAACCTGTGTTTTGTTCATGTGATCATATTGATCACAGGGTAAGGACCTGTGTGGGATTGCTCAGTCATAGACATACAAATTAAATCTGTCCTCTCTGTGTGGTGGTTTAGCAGGATCTCATCCTCTAGAGACTGGTGTGGTGGATGACAGCAACACGAGCAGAGGTTTATGATGGCTCTTGCAGTACCTATGGAAGATGATTCATAAAAGTGAGTACTCAGTGCCTTCAGGAGAGAAGTTGCTGTGGTATCATCAGGATTAGACTGACCCATACAAAGCAGAAGCATGTAACTTGTAAGATCTTTTGATGTTTCCAGTCACAGTTGTCTGTGACTGCAAGACTGCAAGTCTGTCTAAACTCCATTCTGCAATTCATTCCTTACAATGTAGTTTTGGCCTGTAATTATTCTAGTTTTGTTTTAAAAGTCACAGTTGGGGGGGAACATCATCAGTTCCACTTTAAGACACTTGTCCATAACTTAATTTCTCAACTTTGATTCTACCTCTTCTGTCCAAGAGAGAGAAAAACAGGAATCAAATTCACTCACAGTGACAAAGAAATTTGTATGAATGTTTTCTTCATATTAATTGTCAAGTAGGCTTGTTGAAATGTAAGCATAAAATAGATAATAATGGAGTTTTCATTTCAGTTTTTTGCACTGGAAACTCTGGAAGCTTCCATCTTCTTGTTTCAGGAGCTGCACGAAGCAATGAATTTCCAGGTTGCGTTCCCTCCCCAGTACTGGAACAAAACTCTTAATATCCTCAGAAAGCAATTCTGTTCTCACAATGTCCAACTTATCAAGGAAGGGAAAAGAGAAAGGAAGGATGTTGTTTATTTATAGCATCTCTTTATATCATTGTGCCTCTGCATGCAGAGTCTTTGTTCTGCTACATCTTAAGCATTTGTTCTTGAAGAGACTCATGTATGGAATGCTGTTGGAAAAACAGGAGACTCAAAGCACCGAAGGCAACCAGGCGGTTTTTAAGAATAATAAAAGGAGATGCAAACAAGCAAATGGCAAACTGAAATGGACATCTCAAAAGTAAGGAATTTTTAAAATCTACATTATAGTCAATAAACAAAATAAAAGGGAAACATATAATCCTTTTTAAATTTGCAAAAAGTTTGTATCAACAGTTAAATGCTCAGTGAAATTAATTAGTTACTTTTTTCTGATAAAGAAGTGTATCAATCTTTGAAAGGCAGCAGGGAAAGGACAGAAAAGTAAGTGCAGGACAGTATTGGACAGAAGTGTGGACAAAGGAGTTGCCTACAGAGTAACAAAGCAGGGTTAGCTATAGCAACAGGCCTAGAGAGCACACACACGCATTAGTTTCAGGAAATGAGCAAAGAAATCAGTGAACCTTTTAAGTGACATTTAGAAAAGTTCACCATTTCAGGAGCGATTCCTGAGAACTGCAAAGCAGAAAATAAATCTATATCTAGAGAATAGACACTGCTTTCTGCTTTAGATTTATTGCTTTCAAAAAATAAAAGAATTTAGCTGGGAAAACTAATCTGGCCACGACCCTTCATGCAACTATTTAGACTGAGTGACTGCAGAATTAGGTCCTCGCTCACAACACATTTCCCTGATCCACGTGATCTGACTTAAGTACTCAAGTCAGCTCATCCCCTAAGTCCCATTGAAGCCAAGGAGAGCAAAATGTAGGGTTGTGACCTGTTTTTCATCTTTCCGATGGCAAATTTGTTAATGCACTTAACGTGACCCGGAGGCCTTAGTCAGAAGCCAAGAAGCAAAGAGCTGCTTCACCAATGGGCTGTTTCCCTGCATGGTGCACACAGGACAGTAATTTGTCTGCCCCCCATGCGCTGCAGCAGAGTCTGAGAGACAGGACCCCAGCGTGCCCCCAGTTAAAGCCTCATGGCAGGTAGTACATGACCACAGAACACTTACTGCCAGCTTTTCAGAGGAAACACAGGAGTCATGACACAGTGTGTCTTAGGCAGGTGCACGATGCCCTGTCGATGGTGCCCTTTGGCCAGAGAGGCTGTGAGATACTTCCCCAGGTTCAAGCTGCTGTCAGGTCATGCTCTGGAGATGCTCAGGGAAGATGCACAAATTAAATCTCAGCACATTTTAGGAGGGGTCCCAAAATTGGTGGAGTTCTCAAAGGTGTGGGTGTACACAGGCCAGACATTATGAAAGTGCTGTCACTGATTTCTAGCCTTGGCTGCTGGGACACTCAAAAATTGAGTATTCATTGAAGTGTTTCCACTAGTGCCCAAATTAGAAACGTGTTCCTAGATAGCTAATCCAGAACAGAGCCTTCTGTTACCACAGTTTCTTTATAAATATTAATAATTTGCCACCAAGTAGATTCACTGTGAAGCTAAATAAGCTACTGTGCTATACTACACATTAATCTTACCAGAGTCTCAGTGGGAAAGTGGAAGAAAAATACTTCAGTGAGAGATTAGACCAGGTTATTCTCAATGGAAGATTAATCCAGAAATAGTCTCTACATTTTCTACTCATTTACGCAGCAAAATAACTTATTAAATAGTTTCTAAAACTGCAGGAATTGGGAAGTTTTCCTGTGACAGTTGTGCCACACTTTATTCCTTTCTTTTCTGTTCTACTATTTTTATGCTTTACATGATAGCTTCACCAAAAAAAAAAAAAAGTTGAGTGTAAAAGACTTTTCAGTAGACTTAAGAAAATAAAGATGAAAGGAACCTAATATTTTTATTTTATTACGCTCACTTTGAGAAAAGCTCTTTTTTTTTTTTTTTTTTTTTTGCTAAATCATTACATTTCCTTGCTTAGGAAAATGTTAAGGAAGGATTTTTTCCAGAAGTGTATAAATTTAATTGGTTCTTTATAGTGCTAAAACATTCTATAGAATGTTACAGGGTTTTTCTATAATGTGAAAATGGATTTTAGACCTGTAGAAAATCTAACTCAATGTCCAATGAAAAAGCTTAAGGAAATTTTCTGTGCAGTGATTTCAATATATACACACAGAGGTTATGAGGTATTTGAGAAACTCCTTTATCATAAGGAGTTTCTAGGTTGCTGTACATGGGACAGGGAATACCAGATATTCTACTATTGTGCAATTTTTTGTCCTGGTCTTGCATACTTTTAAGACTAATCAGAAAATGGATTTCTTTCGCTGTTGGGAGGAGTTACTGGGGTCTTGGTCCATTCCTAAGAAGTGTTCTAATTCTTTAGATCCCTTAGTATTATTGAGGTTGTGGCTGAGGAGAGAAAGGAAGGTGGGATGCTCCCTGCCTCTGGAAAGTCCATTCTCAGGTCCACATGTGTATGTATCCACCTGATGTCACTCCCAGAGGTACAGGGCTACAAGGAAGAATCTGGAAGAGGTGTTGGGTCTCTTAGCATCCTTGGGAATCTATTAATCTGTGCTTTTGAGGCTAGCAGTACTTCCCTGACCCCATTTCAGTGCTATGAGAATAAATATAATAGGTGTTAAAGAGAATGCAGAAAGGGACTATCTGTATATTGGGGCAGACAGAAGGAAAGATGATTCACATTTACCTTAGAAACAAAGACTGGCATCCTGGGATTTAAGAATAAAGAGAGGAACAACCCTGTGCTGTCATGGAAAAGTATGAAGCAGATCACATAAATTTATACTTATTCTAAAACATAAGGATTCAGGATTTAACTCTCAGAACAGAAAATACTGACATTTGGTGATTTTCATGGTAATCATTTTTCTTACAGTCGTTTGGCCTTGTGCAAAGCAAACAACTGTGTAGATGTCTTTCTCCATGTACATAATTATTTTATTACAAAAACAGTAAGGACAGAGTTGTATTTGAACAGCCAGATGCTCTTCATTACTCTTTTGAAAGTCTTGGATAATTTCCTGTGTTATTTATTGTGCTCAGGCTATTGCTTACTGGGCTTTAAGATCTTACTGAGATTTAGACAATATTTGAAATACCAGTGTGGTAAAACTTCCATACAAATTCAAGAAACTACCCTAAATTTATAGGCTCAAACTCAAAGAAAAAAAAGAAAGAAAAGAAACAAAAGAGTTAAAAGCGCTGACAGTTTTCAGCAGCAGTTGCTCCTTATTCACTTTGGGAAAAGGACAAGAGGGACTTCACCTGCTCCAATTAAAGAACAGGTGATCTGTGGGGTTTCTTTTCCCACATTTTTCCAAGTTACCATGGTTTTACCCATGGCTCTAAACCAGAACCAGTTACAACCCTCCTGCAAAACAGAGGACTCTCATTATGAATGTCTGCTTCTAAATTTCCTTTGCACAGTTGAATGAATTCCCTACAGTACCTGGTGAGAGGTTCACAGCCTCTCCTTGCCCCTTAGAACAGGGACTTGAGTTCCAAGCAGTCCCCTTAATGAGTAGAAAACTTCTTGTGTGCACCTTTTGCCTCCCACAGTAGACTGCTGGAGGAAACCATTTGTTTTCTGTGTTCCAGTGTACTACTCTGCAGACAAGCTTAAATGGTATTATCTTGTGCAGCCTGGACTTTGCTGCTCATCAGTTATCGCTGTAGCAGTGGCAGCTTGAAACGATACCAGCCAACCAGGAAAAATAAAGGACTTCCTTATACAATACATCTACTCCTATTATTTAAACACTTGGGGGTAACACAAATATTTTTTTTAGCATTTCATATTTCTCTGTTCACAAATATTTGTATAACTGACTTTTTAGCTTGTACAGATCAGTAGAAACCTCAGACTTTCCTTTAACTTTCCTGTTAAAACTCATTTGGAGACTCTCACTTATGTGAACATGTGACTGCAACTTGTGTAAAATAATCCTTGGTCCGCAAGACAGTTACTGGTCTTAACAGTTTTTTGTTTCCTTAGTGGCAGCTATCAAAAAGATGTTCTGCTTTAGATGAGCAGTCCACATTACATTATATGTAATTAATAGCAAATACCTGAAAAAAAGAGTTGTTAAATGCGTTATGGGTTAAAACAGTCACGCATAAACTAGTGAATTTGGAAAAAAGCAAAGACTTTTCATTGTCTGTGGTGGCCAACTACAGAGAATTGTTTATTGAGTAATAACATTATGATGATTTGCATTTTATATTTATTTCAGGTTATAATTGATGGAGATATTTTTCCATGAAACATCTCCCTAAATCTCTCCAATGATGGAGTCATGGTGGAATACTAAGAGCTTGCCAACAAAATGACTCAACTGAAAGCATA